TTTAAATTTCAATTTCTAATCAAGTCAGTTTTATCAAGAAAATTTTTCTACGTAAACTAGGTTATCAAATATTATTTATAAAGGTTCTTGTGCATGTTATTTAGATTTAGTTAACAAAAAACCGTTATTCTTCTTCAAACCCTTCCACTTGAAAAAAGCAGATATATATACAGAAGGGAATAATATGCAGATATAGCGTGTTTTAGATGTTTTCATAGTAATAATACTGCGATAAAATGTCATTATTCTTTCGCTTTTCTTTTTAAAACACGTTATTTTTCCGCCATGTACCGCTATAGCTGCTTAGTAATTGAATTTTAATCAATAAAAATATGTAATATGTACATTGGTTTTGAATCACACTGAATATAAACAGTTTCCGAAAAAGAAATAAAGTAATTATATGTACCCTAGGTAACTACCTAGGGTTATGTAGGTAAAATAATTACCCTTCATTTTTTAGCCTCTTATTTTCAACTCCCTTTATTATTTATTTATTAAATAATAGTACCAAATAATTTAATATGCTTTTGTACGGTAGTTGCTGTGAACCTTTTTCTAAATATTCATTGATAAAATAGTACGAAGAAGAAGAGAAGATAAAAAAGTAATGCAAAATTATCTTTTTTCGTTAGGTTAAATGTCCTAGGATTTTTATCTGCTTTTATCGAACTACATAGTTATATCTGTGGTTATATTATATAAAAACGTTAATATATGCATTACTATTCCTTACTATCTGGTCTAGGAGAATAAAATTCTTTAGAAAAAATTAGAAGGGATTTTTGAAATTCATCAACCAAATGGGTAAAGTTAGTAAAAAATTATATAAACCTTCGTGACCTTTGGATTATACACATAAAAATTTGCACAAAGGATCATTTAAAAGACATGATATTATTTGGACATAGCGAATTTATGAAATTCATACCCTTAGGGAGTAGAATAGGGAATGAAAGTTTGCTGTAAGGAAAATGTATTACTATAGAAGTATAATATTTTATAGGAGGGTTTATTTAGTGACATCAATAATATGAACGAAATACATCTTCTTCAAATCATCCTTCTAGGAATAAAATATAACGTATAAAGAGAGTATTAGTGCTCTGAACAAATAAAAAATAAAGAGACAAAAAACAAAACAATTACAACCAAATCAAGAAAAGCGACAATTGAAAAGTTCAAATATTCAAGAATTGAAAACTTCATATGTCGAAACTATTTATTTTAGTAATACAATTTATATGGGACCATATGTAGAGTTCTATTTATAGAGGGTAAATAGTAATTTCACTATTTATTATTTTCGAAAGATTATCTTTTTTCAGATTTGGCAAAATTTCAACTTTGATTTGATTTCTAAAACACCCTATACATAATTAAGAAATAAAAAACCGCCACGGAAGAGCGCCATCGTTGGTATACAAAGTGTGACATAAAGTCATATACAGAAAATGAAAAAATAAAAAACGGTTTTTAAATTTTCAGATTTTTTTTAAATTAATAATAATATTTAAAGAGAATAAAAATGCTCTTGAAATTGACATATTGACGGCTTCTTATAAATTTTAAGTAAAAAATGTGTGATAAGTCAAAAATAACAAAATCGATTTTTTGAAAGCATATGCAGGGAGTGTCTTAAATAAGTGCAATTATTTTTAGCGGTAATATATTTTGACCCCAGAAACACGATTATGAGTTTTTTCGGGATTTTATTTTTTTTAATTTGGAATTTAGACACTATAGTAAACTGAGTTGGGGAAGAATAATAATTTAGCTAATACCACAATTGCGTGTCATATGTTTACAAAAATCTAAGTACATTGGTAGTTTTTTCTTTTTATAAGTTTTTCTCAGTGAAATATTCTCAAAAACCAGTCTCCGAAATACAGAACTTTCAATAATTTTATTGTATTTTTTAAGGGTCAGGAAGTTAAAAGTCTAAACACTTTTACGTTACTCTTATAACTCTTTATTATTTCATCAAATATTTGTTACAAAATACGTAGGTATACACAAATTTCAAATTTATTCTTATATCTAGAATTTATCAAGTTGTAAAAAAATCTTACGTCTAACTTAAAGTAATGTTAGAAATGAAATGTATAGTAAAGCCCTAAATCCCCCTGTAACCTCAAAAGTATAAATTGAGCAATTCTTCTCTGCGAGCAAATACAAATGCCAGGGGCGTGCATTTAATGGAAGCAAGGGAAGCAGCGCTCCACCTGAAAAAATATCAAACATATTTCTTGTCAAATATCTTTTGTGGAATAGGAATATATGTCTGCGATTAATTGACTGGAGTTGCTGACTCAATGGCGCGCTCTAAGTGGAACGCTATTGTTGGAGTACCTAGGTGTCGCGTTACCACATATACACTAGAGTGATCGTTAAATTTTTTTCCAAAAAAATCGTTCCTTTTGACGAGAAACTACGAGGTTTCTTGTTTTGGTTATACGTGCCAACTGAAATTGCCACTTCAATAGCCACTTCATCGCAAACTTCAATTGTGTTCAACTCGTTCATTTTGTTTATAACAAAAAAAAATCCCCGTAGTTTTTCGTTAAAAGGAAGGATTTATTGGGCCGTCGAAAAAAAAAATGTTTAACTTCCACCCTCAAAAATATTATTTTTTCTAATATACAGGCTGTCCCAGGTTGAGCTTGCATTAGAAATTTCTAGAAAACCAAAATATCTATAAAAAACCTTTTTGGATAATGAGATAAAATATAGGTTTCCATTTGAAAAAATAGTAATGATAATTTTTTTATGAATTAATTCAATGACAGATACAGCCTATGACATGCACTTTTCGAAATTTTATTTTTAAAATAAATTGCCGCGTGGTTTCTTTTTAAGGTACTGTTTTTGTACCGATTTCGAACTTTGATTTCTAAACTATACGATTTTTCTGACAGGCAGTTCTCAGCTCTATATTTTTTTTAAAAACGGCCATAGTGTTTGACATCAAAAATCATGAAATTTTGCAAATAATTCATATATATAAGAAAAAATGGGTGCATTGATCTAAAATAAGAGAGTTGCCGTCAACACTGTATATTGAATATAATTTTAATGAAAAGATCCCACTGTCAAACAATGATATTCAAAAAAGCTCCGATCTAGATGTTTACATTCTCTAGAAACTTCTAATTCAAGCTCAGCCTGGGACACTCTGTAGATATTAATTAACAATAAACTTCATTGATAAGCTTCGATTAATTAGTACCTACCAAAAGAAGGACAACACCGCTTATGAAAAATCTAACAAAAAGAAAATGAAATATTTCATTAAACATTTTTTTTTCAAGCGTTATAAAAGTACTATTTTTTTTACGTGATTGACACAGCCATTATAACGAAAATATATTATTAAACTCACATAAAGTCAAATTCAACAAGCATCTTTCAGACGAGGACGCGGTATCCCAGACGCGCGTATCTCAGATACAGAAAAAGCATGTAGTTAAATTGTACCTTACACATGGCATTCCGCGACGCATACAGTATTCATTTCCCAGCCAACTGGACGCCGTTTTTTTTTCGATCATACGGTATATATGCCACAGTAGAACGCACTCTTCAATATTCATTTTATAATACAATAATACGACTGCACCGCACTGAAATTTGTTTTAAACTAGAATATTATTTCGTACCTAAAAAAAAGTATGCTAAAAGAGTATCTCGATAGTATTCGACTGTAATTCTGTATCCCGTATACAGAATCTCGCATACCGTATCCTCGTCTGAAATAGCTCTTACTTTTAATTTTTTTTATATTATTTGCAACGTCTGAAATTGTTTAAAAAACATTTTGTGACGTTTGAAAAAAAAAATAACATGTTCAATTTTGTGTAAAAACGCCTGACAAATGTTTTGTCCCTCGCCACAAAATGTATAATTTTACTACATATAAAATAAAACAATATACAGGGTGGTCCGAACTGTATTTCGGCAACTTCGGCAGTATATTGTGCAGATAAAAATAAGTAAAGAAGTTTGTATATATGTAAGTCCAAAAATGCTTTATTTCGGATATACGAGGTGTAAAAGTTTCATTTTTACTTCGATTTTTCCAAATAATTTCTAAACTAAGGTCAATATATGGATGAAAATTGGCATCTGGGAGTTTTTGGACATGAGAAATTTGATTTTGATGTCAATATGACACCTATTTGTAGGGAGCGCCACCTACATCTGTATTAACTCTCTCGATGAGTAACAAATTTTCGTCAATACCTGTATAAAACTACTGGGTGAAAAAAATTACATTTCCGTGTTTTTTACGTGAAAAATATTTCTTGGTAAAAATCGCTACGAGCAACCGTTCTCAAGATATTTAGAACGGAAATAGTCAATACACGTCATTATTGACAAAAAATAAACATAGTTATTTGACCGAAATGATAAATTTTTGAACTTTCTATTTTTTTTTAAATTAATCATAAATTTTTCTTCGAAAAAATGATCATAAAACAGTTTTTTTTTTAATTTTCGACACAAATATATTCCTAATTAATGATTTCAGTCTAATAACTCTTTAGATTTAGTCAACATGTTTAATTTATGTCAATGATGACAGGTATTGATAATTTCGGTTCCAAATATCTCGAGAACCATTACTTTTTTACCAAAGATTTTTACCAAAAGACCTTTTTAACGTAAAAAACATCGCGTGTATATTTTTTACTCAGTAGTTTTATACAGGTACGGACGAAAAGTTATTATTCTTCAAACCAGTAAAAAATATCTAGGTGGCGCCCTCTACAAGTAGCAGACATATTGACATCTAAATCAAATTTCTCATATCAAAAAAATTCCAGACAACAGTTTTAATCCAAATATTGATGTTACTTCAGAAATTAACTGGAAAAAAACAAAATAAAAATGAACTTCTACACCCAGTATCTCCGAAACTAAGCCATTTTAGGACATATATTTAGACGAACTTTCTTATTTATTTTTATCTGCAGAATATGCTGCCGAAGTTTCCGGAATACAGTTCGGACCACCCTGTATATTAGTCTCCGCAAAAATATTATTATTAATTAATATGGTTATAAAAGTGGAAAAAATAGGTAAATAATTTTGTTTCTCCACTGAAACGTTTTGAAAATCAAAAAGGTCTCATTGAAAATTTCTCCAAATAATGTCAGAATCTCGACGTTATTGAAGCATTTATAAGCGAATCAACTTAAATTACACATAGTATTTTACACTTAATATTTCACCGCACGCCCCTTACAAATGCGATACCGAGGAAAACCGACAAAAGCTGCAAATCTATTTGCTGCAAAGGTTACAATATAAAAAAAAACAAGTAAGAAATATATTCAAAAGAAGCAGACAAGCAATCGAAGAATAAATGAAATGTTTACTCAAGTTTTCAGTTTTCCATGAGGTAAGTCTAAAATAAACGGACGGAAAATATTATGGAAAAGTGAAAATTCGAGTCAAAAAAGCCCTTTAAATTAGACAAAAGAAAATTAGAAATATTTATAAAAATATATGTTCTCTTTTGCATAATTACATGAATGTTATCACAGCTAGTTACTAATTATATTTATTTTTAGTACAAATATTAATAGCTATTACAATGGACATTTTGGTAATCATATTTTACATCTATAAAACTGATTTTTCTTTTATACATATTACTACTGCAAAAAATTAATAGTTGTGAAAAATTGAACTAACTACTTAAATTAATGAGTACCAAAATATTATTGTCGATTTACAGTAAACTGTTTACAATATATTAAGGCAGTATACAGTTATTTACTAGTAATATATTATTTTTTAATCCTATCTCTAATATTAGCACATTAGGAATACATGGAAATAATATGGCTATTATTTTATTTATTCTAAGGAGAAATGGAAATATAATTAATGTAAGTTTTTATAATGCAATTAAGAAATACAACTTAAAATGAAACGGTTTTATTCAGAAAATAGACAAAAATGAAAGACTCTTTTTATTAATTAGTAAATTTCTCTTCTTACTAATTAACAGGATTTTATTATAAAAAAATTGAAATATAACATTTCTCCTTATTATCAGGAAAATCTTTTACTAGCAATGAATAAAAATAATTATATCCAAAAACGTGATTGAGTCATTCTATTTGAAAATAATATTTTATATTATTTTTTATAAAGAAATTGTCGAAAATTTTTTGTCGTTTATTTAATTATTTTTTTTTTAATTATTTACAATTTTTTTGCTACAATTATATTTCCATCTGGATGTTATTTACGACGAATCAATTTATTTGTAGCTAGCTTCGCTGTCATTATCACCAAACCAGCCTTTTCTTGGTGGTCCCATAAAACTAGTACTTGCTTCGCTCCTGTAAAACAAAGGTTACTAAATAAATTTTCTTGTTCGTTAATTATTGTCTGGTATCAAATAAGTCATTTCGGCAAATATAAAAGTTCTATAGCTTGTTTGGCTGTCATACACACTGTGTTTTAAATGTACAGGGTGTCCGATTTTCCTTTGTTTTATGTTGTTATTTTTCTTTTCTGAGTGGAGTCTAAGCGGTTTTCACATCACCGTGCTACTTTTTTTATGAAACTAAAGATAGTGCACACAGATTTGTCCTAGCCCTCTTAGTTCATGAAATATAGAACAAAATTGAAAATGTTGCAATTTTCGACTCCCTTCGTATCTCGGTTATCTTATAACTTATCGAAAAGGTGAAAACTGAATCCCGTAGAGTTTTTGACGTAGAATTCAGGGGCTAACTAGATTTTTGCTGCGAACTGTCATTCTTGAAATATGACCTAAACTTTTGACCCAAAGTTACAGTTTTTAAATGGTATACCCTGTATGATATACCGCATGATCGAAAAAAAAAACGGCGTCCAGTTGGCTGGGAAATGACGATCATTGACATTTCCCATATAAATTTACATATAAAATGACAGCGCTCTTCATTTCATAGCCATCGTTGACGCCGTTTTTTCTCGATCATACGGTACTTTTATGTTATTTGCTTTAAAAAAAATAAGTATAGACCTTTCTAAAAAACTCTATAGTGGTAAACAACTTTCCAGTAGTCGGTAATTTAATACGTGAAATAACCGGTTTACCGGTATTTACCGGTTTTTTCCTTATCAGAAATAGCAGAAAAAATATATAAGCAACCTTAATTAAACTAAGCCTAAAAGCATAGTGGAGCGACGAGGCTAGCGGCGAGCAAGCAGCGCTACAACGCGTCCAAAACAAGCCTTTGAATACAAGTCCGCGTGAATACAAGTCCTGCTCGGGCGGTTAGATCGAGCGGCGAGATCGATTCAAAGAAATTTGTTTTTGCCGCTCTGTCCCGCTGTAGAAAATGATGGATTCCCAAAAATTAAGAGATTTAGTATTTCTAAGAGAGATTTTATGGGATCAGAAAGCTAGTAATCACCATAATCTGTACATTTAGATAAGTTATGAGGTGAAGTGGGCAACAAATTTTCGTAAAGGTTATAAAACTTGCCACACTCTCTCCGGTTTTTGAAAATTTTATTCTACACTACACCTTCTGGTTTGTTGGTCTCAAATAACCCAAATGTTTGCGATTTTAGCTTCTGTTAACATTTCATATTATCAATAAGCAAATGAAAATAATAAATTTGCAAGTACCTCGCTATTCCGCGCCGCTCTACTATGTTTCAGCACCTTTAGGGTTACGCGACGCGGTATCGCGCTGCTTGCTCGCCGTCTATCCTCGGCGCTCCACTATGTTCTTAGCCTAAGGCTAAAAACATAGTGGAGCGTCGAGCAACCCTACTTGCAAATTTATTATTTTCATTTGTTTATTGCTAATTTAAAATGTTAACAATTGCTAAAATCCTGGGCACTAGTGTCGCAAACATTTGGTTGATTCGAAACCAACAAACCAAAAGGTGTAGTGTACAGGAAGCTTTCAAAAACCGGAGAGAGTGTGGCAAGTTTTATAACCTTTACGAAAATTTGTTGCCACTTCATCTCATAACTTATCTGAAATGTACCAGTTATGGTGATTACTATCTTTCTGGTCCCATAAAATCTCTCTTACAATTACTAAATATATTACTTTTTGGGAATCCATCATTTTCTACAGCGCGACAGAGCGACGAAAACAAAATTATTTGAATCGATCTCGCCGCTTGATCTAACTGGTCGAGCAGAGCGCTTTACTATGTTCACGCGTACTAGTCATCACAGGTTTGTTTTGGACGCAATTTCGCGCTGCTTGCTCGCCGCTATCCTCGTCGCTCCACTATGTTCTTAGCCTAAAACAGCATTTTTAAATTTGCACCTTAATTCTTTTTTCCTGAAAATATTGCAGTTCTCTTATCAAAACTGGTTCGGTCCATACCCATGGATGTTATATATTTTACAAGTGGTTGGTTTTAGCCTTTTTTCTTATTGAAAGTAACATATTTTCCTGAATCGACAACAGAGTTTTTACCAAGTTGAAGAAACCTGAATATTAGTGCAATTCCAATTGCAATTCCAATATTAGATGCCTTGAAGAAGTTATGTTATTCCGAAGTCAATTGGGATAGGTTAGGACTCTTAATTTCGGCACTGTCTTTGTAGGCGCCATTGTCAGCATCATCTAAACGCATAAATCAAGAGTCTAAGTATTTCCAATTGATTTGGGAAATACTATACGCTATTATCTTTTATATAGCGGATTGGGTTCTATTTATATTCCGTAATTTTTGGAATCAGATTCTTCAAACAGGATTATGTAATTAATGAAGAACATCTTTACTCGATGCTTAAAGTTATGCTCTAATTTGTTATCTCATCAACCCTAGATTTTAAGGAAAATCTATTATAAACTGCTTTGAATTTTTGCAACTAACTTCAAATTTTTTGGTTCCAATTTTTCCACAGGAACTTTTATTGCTTCTAATACTGCATTGTAGAATAGATATTGTAATAATTTTTTTGCCAATCTCAATAAAAGTTCCTAACAAAGGCTTCGGCTTATAACTTTTTCAGAATTCTAGTTAATTTGGTTTTTGGCTTCTAGTCCAGTATATATTATTTATTTTTTACCATTACCTAATTTACCGGTAATATTTTACCGCGTTTTTAGTATATTTTAACAGTTAAAGATACATAGATAAACCGGTTATGCAATCCCTACATGTGTGGGAGAACAGGCACAGTAGGTGAAATGCGGATACGCAAAAATTAGCGAAGTCGACTGTCTATATAATAATACTAATATAATATACAGGGTGACAATTTGAAAACGATAGTGATACTTAACCTCACAGATGAATGAAATGTATTTAATATCTAATTTTAAAACGGATTGCATTCACCGCCTCATAGAACTTCATTTAAAAATGTTTGTTCCTACCTATACTATACATTCCAAATTCCTTTATTTATTTACATTTCGTCTTCGATATCGCCACTACAAAACATAGAGTAATTTAATTTTTTTGCTGTTTTCGACAAAACATGATTCTCGTTTTGCTTATTCCTGATATTTCGAACAAATTATTATCAGGTACTTGTTCTTTATTTTCCGACTCCTGGTGTTCATTATTTATTCCATGTTCTTCCAGAATCAGTGAAATAATCTGTGAAAGTACATTTCATAAACAATTTCAATAGTTTCCAATTATTAGTACTGTTTCTTAAAATGGTTTACCCTATTGCTGAACGCGTAGAAATGATTTTCATTTACTGAGCTGAAAATCGCTGCTTTGCAAGAACGGCGGCCGCATTCAACTAAAGACATCGTGAAAGAAATGTTGGGCACAAGTACATTCGTGAGTTAGTAGCTAAATTTGCAGAAACAGGATCTGTTTGCAATAAGAAAAGGAATGAGCCAAGACACTCTCAATGAAGCCGCTCAGATTGAGGTTCTTGGTGAAGTTGCTATGGCTCCCATTACATTCCTTCATAAAGTTGCAGATCAAACTGGACTGTCGCGTGAGTCAGTCAGGAAAGTATTAAAGCTTCACAAATTTCATCCATACAAACTCCTAATTACTCAAGAATTATGGGACGATGACCGGACAGACGTATTTAGTTTTCCGAAATTATGACGGACAAGATTATTACTCAGCCCAGGTTAATAAAGAATACCAGTGGCGAATGCACTTTTTACTTAAATGGCAAGGTAAACAAACAAAACTGTCAATATTGGAGCGACATCAATCCTCACATTATTAGAGAGGGGCATACGCAATACCCTCAAAAATAAATGTTTGGGCGGGTATATTAGGCAATAGTATCATCGGTCCTCTCTTCATTAATGAAAATCTAAACGGAGAAATTTATGCAGAAATGTTATAATATTAAATAATATAATTCGTGAGGTGGAAAATCAAAGGGACGCCAATGGAAATATTTTTCTAGATGAGCATTTGCTGCACTTCCAACAGGACGGTGCGGTTCCGCATTATATACGCCCAGTAAGAGGGTGGTTGGATAATCATTACCCAGAGCAGTGGATTGGTAGGAGGAGACCCATAGAGAATGCCCATCTAGGTCACCAGATCTGACACCGCTGGATTTTTTCTTATGGGGCCACTTGAAACCCGTTGTATTTAAAACTCAACCAGACTCCATTGAATAATTACAACAAAGAATTGTACAGGAGTATAGAGCTATTTCACCTGAAACTTTTCAAAACGTCCGAGAACAGTTTGAATACCGGTTGTACTTGTGCTTGGAGAAGAATGGAACCCATGAAAAATTCTTAAAGTAGTAAAGGTAAGCTTTCCAGTATTTCATTATCATTATCATAATTTTTCAAGGAGATGCATTATTTTAATGTACATAAAATACATTTCATTCATTTGTGAGGTTAAGTATCATAATTTTGACAAAAAATAATGCAGTTTATGTAGAATTCTATAAGAAATACAAAAATAGTAAAAGAAATAGGGGTTGCTATTTAAAATTTTAGGGGTAGGTGCCCTGGAGTTCGAGGGGTTGAAAGTAACACGACAACAAATGCCTCAAAAATTCTCCCCCTTGATATGTAAATTGACGTATTTCTCCAAATTTTCATACTATCATCGGTAGAGGCAATATTAAAAACTGTTTGTTTTCAAATTGCCACCCAGTATATCGAATTAGGCTGTCTGATAATACGAGTAGGCTGTACCCAGACCCCACAGTTATTACGTAAAGCTATATTCATAATTTATAGTAATGCTGTCAATTCTACAATAAAAAAGCTGTAAAAACGCAGGAAGTGTCAAGTTCATTTTTTAACACTATTTTGACTTAACTTGGAAGAAATAGTTTTTAAGGCCTATTAACAACTACTTTACCTAAATTGCCTTGTAACTTCTTCCGTAGTTGTTCCACGACCTTGTGTGGTTCTGCGCGACTCTGTAGCTTGCCACGACGAGTGCTGTGCTCCCTCATTTCTAGGCAAGTAAAACGGCTGCATCCTGGCGCTCCTTTGTGATTTTGGAGTGCCCTCGGGAGTTGTGAATTCGCTAGCTGTATCGTATCTAGATGGAGCTACCCATCTGAAAGTTGAATCAAGAACCATATAAAACCATATAAAATGTATACCCATTGAAAATAGTTTTTAATACAAAAAGTTGTGAACAATGCTATTACTAATATGATATACGGTGATTCGTAGGACTACCTGGGATAATACAGGTGACAATTATATTTTTTATAATTTCTGTTTGAAGAGAGGTTTTATTTACTTTAATATTTATTGTAATCTAGTAAATATATTACAGGCTTACCCCTATAACTTTTTTATTTTTTTTTAGATAAAAAAATAATTTGGTATGTTAGTATATGGCTGTTTCACCGGAAATCAGTACAACTTTTGATTTTTAAATGATACTCTCGGTATTTTTTATCTTATATGATACAAAATAACTTTCTGAATAGATTGCCATATCATATGACAACTTTGACATTTTCGATTAAAAAACAGAATTCGATTATAAAATAAAAAAATAGAGAGGTTACCATTTAAAAATCAAAAATTGTAGTAATTTCCAGTGACACAGGAAGTGAAGGAAACTACTTAAATACGTCAATCATTCCTCATTTATATCGTTTACTAACATACCAAATCTTGTTTTTAATCTGAAAAAATGAATTTCTATATTCCATGGTTATGCATTAGAACGACTTTACCGATATCATTAATTTTTTTCCTAAAGTTCTAATACTTTTTATGTTCTTATGGATAGAAAAATTGAAAAAATTAATAAGAAAAATTTAAATTATGCAGTAAATGGAACAATTTAGAAAACGATTATTAAACTTCACGCAGACAATCGCGCGCAATTATCGTTTAAAATCTACATCGGTTGGCATCTATCGATCAAAAATTTAATTTATCTATTTCTGAGTGCACGTTCCATTCGATTGAAAAGTGTATCCAGTTTTCAGTTAGTTTATTAACATGCAAGTGTTTGTTCATCGCAGTTAGTTCACTAAAAGCAATTAAAAGATACACCTGCTACAAGAATTCAAATATAAAAAAACAGGAAGAAAAATTTACTAAAAATTATTTTTTAAATAAATTTGGTTTAGAACTAGGGCATCTACTGATGCAATTGACAGCTCACGTCACTCACGCTTATAGATTATTTGTTATAATCGATTTTACTGTAAACCATTGGCATACTAGATATTGTAGAATAGAAATTCAACGGAAGTTGGATGAGCTAGTATGTTATAAATTTTGAAATAAAAAATACTACGAGAAGTTTTTTTTTTAAATAGAAACATCATCTATTATTGTTATCATTTAATTGATTGTATATTAATATTAATATTTGTCATATAAAAATTCTGCTAAAGAAAAGTGCATTAGATATACAAATAATGTACAGATCATAACTAATCATGATTGAGTGATAACATAGTTCAAACAATAAAAAATACCAAGAAAATATCTAGATAGAGACTACATATATCTAGCAATATCTGACCTATATCTAGGCAACTTTATAAAAAAGCTACCTTTACTGTCTACAAATAGGTAAAAATAAAAGAAAAGAGATTGGTTAAAAACTACTAAATAATCTACACTCTATTCTTGATGAGAATATAAATGATAGTATTTATACAGCGTGAGTCTTAAATTAGTGCAATTTTTTACAGGGCTGGTAGATCTCGATAAAAGAAACATATTTCTCTTTATCGTTTTTCAAATAAGTCCAAAATAATCAAGTTACTTTACTTTGAAAATTTAGAAAATATTATTTTGCTTAAATTTTGAGAACCACTGGATTTTTTCAGGTTTTTCTTTTTAGTAAATTTAATCTACTACATATATGTTGCCATATTATAAAGATATAATAATAATAATAATAATAATAGCTCCCGTATAATAGCGTTTAACGCATTGGGAGTAGCAAGGTACAGCAAGTTCGGTATACAAGGAACCATAAATAAAACCAATTATAAAAATATTATGTTTGTTAAATAAAACTTTAAAATCCAGTTTTTTTTTCGAAAAATATCGTTGCAGACCCTTGTGGACTCGGCCTAACCTGACTAATATGCCCCGCTCCCATTCGAGAACGAATGGAATAATCTGGAGACAAAGAACGGCGCCGGCGTGCAGCGGCTAAAAACATTCGAGCAAAATCTGGACTATCTGTTTCTCTCATATATAACCCGACGCCTGGGGCCTGAGGAGGACAGAAACAAACAGATCAGTCGACGCGGACAATTGCCGCCCTAAATTGAAAATAAATTCCTTTTAGATAAATAGCTAGATAAATAAATAGTAAATAAGTTGAAAACAGTTCTTTAAGTAGTTTTATCGTTATTGTTTTGTTACTTAGGGTAAAATAAATTGTGTTTAAATAAATTAGACTTTCTATCCACACGGACGAAAAACGTAACAATACTAATTTTTTTCGCAAAAAAAATTCAAATATACGTATTTCTGGGATCAAAAGATACCACCCCTAAAATATTTGTACTTATTTAAGACTCACCCTGAATAATAATGAAACGAAAAAATATCTATGAATAATTAAATAAAACTAAATATTTTTTTAACTTTATATTTTTTTTCTAGTATTTAGTACTTTGAGTTAATATTATTCCTTTTACCTTTCAGTAAATTCACTTGCTGATCTAGCCAGACTAGGCTGACTTAAAGATCTAGCAAGAGAGCGAGCGTGAGTCGATCCAGTATCCGCTTCGGAATCTTCGTAGTACCTCCGGTCTGGATAATAACTGGAAGCTTCTGATTGGCTGTCGATGTGGTCGGGCCTGCCAAAGTCAACGGTCATTTCTGACATTGATCTGAGGTCGGCCTCGCTCCTGTTACTGGATCTAGAATACCTAAGTAATTAAAAAAAGGTCGATATTATATTATCGTGTATCGATTTTTTACTTAAAAACTTATTTGTTTATGCAGTATAAACTAAAATTATATTTATATCATTTCAGTTCGAATTTGCACAAAATTTTTAATAATTTTTACAAAGTTTCAATGTTGCAAGTTTAAATTTAAGTTTATTTTTAAAAAATGCATCATCATTAAAGAGTTTTTTTGTAATTGTTTATATACATTAAGTACAGCTAGTCATTAAGCAACAGGTATATGCAGAGAAGACCAGGCTACTAGTAACATAGCAGGTTGCCGGACGAATATGCGTTTACCCGATTACGTTCGTACTCGAGATTCACTGCCGGCTGAAGCGCGGAAGCGCCTCGTATCTAGTCGGCTGGCGGCTGGTCAGGCAGTACGCAGTTGCATTTGTGCTTGGACGGGTCGGTCGTGACAGACTAGGAATACGACTCGAGAAGTGCCGAGTATTTATTATTTTCATTTTAAATGTTTAACTTCACTTAAGGTAACATTTAAAATAAAATACTTAATTTATTATTTGAGTGTGTTTACAAGCTAAAACTTAAAATAAATAAATTCTCTAAACCCAAAACTCATTTCCAAAATTAAAAAATACATTAATAAAATAAAAAAAAATAAAATATTACTCTAAATAAAAAAAAGTTATAACAAGTGTTCAAAAAGACCACCTTCTTGTGCTATATAGAAGCCTAGGCAGTCGTAAAATCCCCGTCTGACATTGGCTGACATATTAGGGCTAATAGTTTGGAAAGCCTCTCGTATTTTTACTTGAAGCTCATCCAGATTATTAGCCCTATTATGACCATACACTTTGAATTTTACATAACCCCACCAAAAGAAATCATTGGGAGAAAGATCTGGTGATCTAGCGGACCACAAAATAGTTCCATGTACACTAATTAAACGGTTGGGAAAAGTATTGTTCAAATATTCTTGAACAATACGGGCATTGTGAGTAGAGCAACCATCTTGTTGAAACCAGACATTGTGGAATCTTTCTCCCAATAACTCACAAATTCTAGGGACAATCTGCTGCTGCAACAAGTCCAAATACTTTGCAAGAGTTAAATTACCCTCTATAAAAAATGGATCAACCATATGCTATCCTACAAAACCACACCAAACATTTAGCTTTTGAGGATATTGCGTGAGTACCTCAAAATATCTGCAAATTTTCCCGAGACCAATATCATACTTGAATAGGGTTATGACGACTCAATAAATGAAAAGTTGATTCGTCGGTGAAAACTATACACCCAATAAAGTTTTCATCTAAATTGACCTTTTCCATTACAGATTCACAAAACACCATACGCCGATATTGGTCTTCATGGAAAATTTCTTCAGTTTTACCCGCTTTATACGATCGGTATCTATTGTTTTTAAGGGCACCCTTTTAACCGTGCAATTTGATTACTTGAAAACGGGATTTTGAACCGCGGTAGCACAAATGAACACTTGCTTTATCTCCTGTTCTTCATTAATCAACACATCAGGCTTTTTGTGTTTTTGTGGTGACACGCACCCATGTGTTTCAAAATTATTTATAACTCTTGATATAGCAGGTAAAGATGGAATTGGCATGTTTACAAAAGTTTGTTGAAAAATTGCTTGTATATCCCGATAAGACCTATTTTGGAAATACCATTTTAAAATTTGAATTTTTTTACGAACTTCGTAAACATCCAATATTTTACTTATAAAATAAATTTTACACGAGAGCTGTCGCGAGAATCTATGTATTCGTTTTGGCTATTAAAACACGAATAAATACAAATTCTGAAACATTCTTGTCACATTTCTATTTATTTTTATTTTATCGCATTTTTTCGCCTGCTTTTTATCCGGCGGACGGGTATACGCTAATTTTCAAGTTCTGCCTATGTTACTACTACGGTGGTCCGGTCTGTATATTAATCTTGACAGAGCTGTCTTGATGGTTTACGTGACATATTAAAAGACTTCTTTATGAATTAGTCACTACTATAGCATCAACGTCAAAAGTGTCACTAGATATAGCTCGGATGTATGTGTAATAAAAATCTAGAGAGTGACAGTGAGAGAACTATACCTAATAAAAATATATAAAATAACACTGATGATGAAACGGATTATTTCATAGTGTTAAATACAAGCAATTAGTAATGAAATACAACTCAACAGGGAAAACAAGACAAGAAAAAACTTTTAACATAGTAGATCAACAAATATAGGGTGAAAATGTGAGAAATATAGGGTACGATGTTTTCTATGTGTATCTGGGAAACTACTAGAGATAGAGAGTCCGTTAAATGGGGGAAATAATTGCTGTTTTGTGGGATCATAAGTATGCGCCTTTCAGATTTTTGAAAAAGTTTATAGCTTACTAGATATTTCGAAAAAAATAAATTTCGGCTATTTTTAAAATTGTTTCTAATTCCATTATAATCTAGTTTAAACAAAAAGTTTTCAGATAAAAGTTGTAGATAATCACATCCTAAATGAGATTGTGTTCTCCGTTTTTTTCCTAAAGTCTGTCATTTTTGAAACATGACACAAACATATGTTTTTTTTTAATGGAAGCCATATTTGGACATGACCGAAGCGCAATTTTTTTTAGCTTTTCAGCGATATAAACTTTAATACGTTTTTTTTTCGAAAAATTACTTTAATAATTAATAATAATAATAATAATAATAATCGTCTTTATTGAAGAAAAAAAAGATGTGTAACATTACATATATTATTACACATCATGCAACAAGGGTGGCGAAATTTAACAAAAAAAGTTATTCTTACATTTAACCACCAATTAATTAATTATCTTTCTTGACTAATTTCACTTAGTTGGTATGGTATTCTTATTCTGTTATGATTTATAACTTATAAAACGACAGAATATTTTATTAAACGGTTCTTTACAATTTACATTACACAAACTAAAACTTAAAAAAATAATATCACTACATACATTTTAAGTTATTTTTGAAAATGTTCAAAAAATCCGCCATTGTTTTGAATACATAAATGTATCTTTTTAAAACCGAATTACCTACTAGCTATCTCACAGAACGACCGGTCGAGTGCCTCTCGTAATACATATATAAGTTCTTTTGTAAACTTTGTTATTAACCATACCGCACAAGAAAATCAAAAATGGATAGGTGAGATGATAGTGGGGGCCCATGCAATTGGTCTACCTCTTCCTATCCCTGAGTTTGCATAATTATGATATAAGTAATTTTTAACATTTCTTTCATTATGGGGAGGAGTGTCATAATGATACATGTCATACTGAAAGAATATAGTAAACCATAAACTGTTTAAAAAATCTGAAAATCGCATATTTATGACCCCACAAAACTTCAATTCTTTCCCCATTTAACCAAGTCTCCAGTAGTATCCTCTATCTCCGTATACCTACGAGAGAACATCGTAGAAAACTCATCCTGTATATAATAAAATTCAGACTGATACACAATATATTCGCCGATAGAGATAAAAAAATATGGGGCACCTCTTGGTAATGTTTTTAATGTAAACTATAATAAATTTTAATGTAAACTATTAAATCTATATTACCCATTAATAAAATCAATAATATTAATATAATATGTTACCTTCTTGGTATAGACGGATGAACCATCGGTTCTCTGGTTAAAGTCCTTACACTACTCTCCCCATCGGAGTCGTATTCGTATAGAGTTGGCAAGCTGCTTCTTCGGCTTCGATTGTCCCAGTCGTTCTTCTTTCGGAATCGAGACTTTGGTTGCTTATCGATCTGTAGCATAAAATAATACCGAAATTAATACTTTATACCAAACTTACTATCCATTTAGAAAATAAATAAAAATGAGTTAAGCAACAAAAACCGCTTTTTTAAGCTAATAATTGTTTTTCTATTGATACTAATCAATTGTATACACTTTGGATGCCCAGATGTAATGCCGTGTCCAGTGAATTTACAGAGTACTGAACAAAGATAAAGGATCAAAACTGTTGCCAAAAACTGTACTAATGTTAATAAACTACATATAGTTCATATCAAATAAACTTTTAGTCAAGTAATCGAGCGCGCGATTTTTAAATTCATTGTTCCAACTATGGACATATTCGGCGCCGGGCTGACTAACTGGAATTTAAATTTTACGCTGGAGATTCAGGTAGTGGCTCTGCTGTAAAAATGTCACATTGTTGCCACGTTTATTTATTTATTTCCTAACATTGTCATTCGTTTTGACACTTTAGTTTTGAATTACAAAAGCTTTTGGTTTACTTAAATAGTATTGTGATTCTTTAAGCTTAAAATTGTTTACTAGCAGACCTTGCCATTGTTCTTTTTAGAACCTCTTTTAGTGCGAAATGTACAAGATAGCTTAATAGCCTTAAAAAACTCATCGCAACTTTATTAATATATTTTTAACGGGAAATTGGTAGTTTATGTTCCTTAAGTGCTGTTAAGAAGGTGAGTTTTGTTGATGTAAATAATAACTGTTTATATATTTATAATTAATTTATTTTTGTTTCCTAAAATATTTTGATTAAAAGAATATATGTAAAAGTACGCAACGCTGTACCGGTCAAGCTTAATCACGTGACTAAAAGTTTATTTGATATGAACTACAGATAGATATTTATTATACAGAGTGAGTCTTAAATATCTACAAATATTTTTAGAGTTGATAGATCTCGATAAAAGAAATATAATTTCTCTTTAATAAAATATATATTTTGCCTAAATTTTGAACCACTGTTTTATTTTTTGTTTTTTTCTTCATTCTCTAAAATTTATCTGTTACTTATTACCTAGTTTTTTTTAGAAACAAAATCATAAACGCCGTTTACTGTCGTAATATCTTCCCTACTAATATTTGCACTTATTTCAGACTCACCCTGTATTTTTTATGTAATCTAAAGTTTCTGTCAAAATACGCCGTTTCGATATAAAGCAGATTATCATTCATCCGATATACGACGATACGATGATACGATTACAGACTCTTTAAAATGTAACGTTTTATATTAACTGGAAATAGAATTTAAATTTCCCAATACCAAAAATTCTCCAAATTTGTCAACAAAGTAAAGTTAGATTAAATTTATCAAAAAAGGGTCAAAACATCCGTATCGTACACAAAGTTAAATTTATTTTAACTTGACGAACAGGGGTGAAAATTTTTCGTTTAAAAAGTGGGGTGAAAATACTAGGACCAATCATTGCGTAGTGAAATGATTGTATAGCGGATAAGGATGCATGAAAATCCACCTTTACGCGGTGTTTTTAAGGAACGTAACCTTCACGTAAAATGAGGGAATTCTATGTTTTGCTGTATCGTTATTAACGTATTAGTACGAGAGCTAGCAACGTCGGGAAAACAAGTATTTTAAGACGTCTGGCTCTTTGATATATCTTTTATTATGCTCTCTGGAATAGCATGCGGCCCGTCTGGCTGCCGATACCCGTTGCGTTTACTACTGCGCATCCAAAGAAGATCCTCTATTTTTTACTTAGCGCTTTAAATTCTAGTATTGAATAAAAATCAAGCAAGTCTCCATTAGCTCGGCGCGTAGAGCTTTCGCCTATGACGCGAAGGTCAGTGGTTCGATACCGGCTAGGGGTGTAACCTTTTTATTTTTTTTTTTCGTTTATATTCTGATAGTAAAGTATTAAATATTTGCTTTTTTATCACCAAAACGGATGGCGCTTATGGGTTTATGATCCGTAGTGGGTATAAGTAGAATTTGATACTTTCATTTGTTTTGAAGGATTATTGTGGTAATTAATTATTAGGCAGGTTTAGGATGGTCTGGCTGCCGCGCCGGTAGGTTGCGTTCATTACTGCGCATCACATGTGTACAGGGTGTCCCATTTTTGTGCGTTTTTTGGGATTTCTCGTTTATAATTTTATTTTAAAGATTTAAACATAATATATAAAAATTAACATTTTAATGCTTTATTAAGGTAATTTCTGCCTGTCTTTCTTCAAAATATTTTTTTCAGCTGTTGTTTATTATTTTAATAATACTTTTTTTAACAGATTGTTATCTAAAAACTACACAAGTTTATTTTCAGTTCAGTTTGTTAAGATAACGATGGAAAACAAAATTATCTGGTTAAATTAAATTAAATAAAGTAATAATACTTTCTAAACAAGATTGATTAATGTTAATGTGTAGAAAATGCACAAATTTAGGGGTAAAATATTTAGTTACATAAAAAACTAGCAAAGTAATGTGAAAAAAAAAACGTATCATTGTATCTCTACTCATAAACGAGAAATCCCAGATATCCGAAATCCCAAAAAACGCACGAAAATGAGACACCCTGTACCCATGTGATGCGCAGTAGCGAACGCCACCTACCGGGGCGGCAGCCAGACCATCCTAAACCTATCTAATAATTAATTACCACAATAATCCTTCAAAACAAATGAAAGTATCAAATTCTACTTATATACACTACGGATCATAAACCCATAAACGCTATCCGTTCTGGTGATAAAAAAGCAAATATTTAATACTTTACTATCAGAATATAAACTAAAAAAAAATAAAAAAGTTGCAACCCCAGCCGGAATCGAACCACTGACCTTCGCTTCATAGGCAAAAGCTCTACGCGCCGAGCTAATGGAGACTTGCTCGGTTTTTATTCTATACTAGAATTTAAACCGCTAAGTAAAAAATAGAGGATCTTCTTTGGATGCGCAGTAGTAAACGCAACGTGTATCGGCAGCCAGACGGCCTGCACGCTGTTCCAGAGAGCATAATAATAGATATATCAAAGAGCCAGACCTCTTAAAATACTTTCTCGAAAACGTTGCTAGCTCTTAGACTATATTTGTGTATGATAAGGTTGGGAGTAGTTAATAATGTACTGAGAAATAGATTATTACACTCAGATGAAAAAACGCAACGGAAATTTTTTTTGGTCTAGTTTAAAATGTTATATTTTTTGTATTTTTAGCCCAATTTCCTTTATTTTTTAGCAAACTGTATGCAAACATATTAATTTTAATTCTTAAACTCAGTTTATTATAATCTTTAATATTTGACTTATTATACAGGGTTAATCGAAGAGTTATATTTTACCTTATCTTTAAAACATCCTGTGCAATCATTTCGTGTGCAAATTTTCCAAAAACATTATTTTTCGGTCAGAACCTGAATATTTTGTACTCATGTTAACATATGCCTGGCTTACTTTTTAGGAGCAAAATGAACTTGCCGCAAATAATTTGCAATTTTTTCAGTTATCGTTAATTTTTCATATTGACGAGGTGGCTTTGGTGATTATTGCATTGTACGATTGAATATGGTTCTTAGAGTCGAAGATTGTGCAAAAGTTATTGATCTTGTTGAAGATGACCGAAATTATGAATATTCGCTTGGTCCTTGAAGAAGAATGAGAAAACATAACACAATATATTTGCAGCCTCATTAACAGTATGAACCGACATCTACAAACAGTTATAGAAACCGGGGAGCCAATACAAAGTATTAGAGTATTTTTAAGTTTTTTTAGGTTTGTTTGCACCTTAGTTATTATAGTTATATTTTTATTAATATTCTTGGATCTGTTAGTGTTATTAATATTTATTAAAACCAAGCCCGTATCGTTACGTTTTAACGTTTTTTAAATTTTAAAATAGAGGTCTAATAGTGTCTTACGAAAATAGTCACCAAAAGCACCACCTCGTGATATTAAAAAATATCTTAATAAAATAATGATAGTCGAAAAAATTGCAAATTGTTGGTGGGAAGTTCATTTCGCTCATAAAAATTAACCATGTTGTGTAGTAGTTAAACATGTCGACATGAGTCAAATAAGAAAATGCTCAGGAGATATGGTTCTTATCGCACAGGGTGTTTTAAAGTTAGGATAAAAAGCAACCCTTCAATTAAGCCTGTATAATACGCCAAATATAGGGAAATTAAAACAACTTTCGGTTGTCTTGACCAAACCAAACCAAACCGAAACGCGCGTCCAGTGTAAAAGTAAAAGTGTTTTGGTGTATTGTGGTGATTTAGTGTTTTTATTTTGCTGTGTAACAGTAAAGGTTCCAACCTTCAACTGTAATCTTCGATGGCTTCACGGTCAACGGAACAGTTTATAATTATCTGCTGATGATGCTAACATGGTTAGCGAAACGCGCGTCCAGTGTAAAAGTAAAAGTGTTTTGGTGTATTGGGGTGATTTAGTGTTTTTATTTTGCTGTGTAACACCAAAAGTTCCAACCCTCAACTGTAAACTTTCGGTGCACATCATCAATGACACTATGCGTCGTCTTATGGAGTTTGCAACCAAAAGGTATTTTAATTTTCTTATACTAAAGTTTATAAAAAACTAAGTTTATGAATTAAAGTTGATAAATTTGTATAAAAATGTATAAATAAATGTAAATACAAATAAATTTGTTTTTAAAAAAATCATGAAAATAGGGCTAGAAGTATAAAACATATAACACTTTAAACCTGACGAAGAAATTCTCCATTGCGTTTTTTTTTGGCATATGAGTGTACTTTAGATAAATATTGTTTTATTTTATATAATTTTAAACACTTTAATTATTGTTTTGGCGTAGAATGTTTTGATTTGAAAACCGTTACTAACAATTTACTAAATATATCTTACCGGCGTAAGTATTCTGATAATAACATCCCATTTGGGTGGCTCGAAAATTTTCTCGTATCGTTCATCTTTTCGTATTCTCTCGAAATCTTCTCTGACTATCGCCTCTGTCAAGAGCGTCCTTAATGTCGATTCTGTCGTAATTATTTGTCTCCATTTCATTTTGTCTGCAACGGTTAGCTGCGAGTTGAACGTCTCGGCGCTCTCGATTACCGGGCCTTCTTCTTCTTGCTCGGTGGGCTGAAGCACTCTGATCAACACGTTCCAGTTTGGAACGCTCGGATTTTCGAGAGGAACGTTGAAGGTGGACAGATAGTTTTCTTCCCTTTCGTCGGCAGTGTGTTCAGTTTGTCTATGTAAAAATAACAAGAATACGCATAAGCAAATCTGAAGGAATTTTACCAAGAAAACTAAGAAGTCTCTCAGGTTATGTTTTTGAAATGATTTATATCCAAAGAACTTACAATTACATCAATTATTTTTTAAAATTGTTAAATTTTAGTAAATTAACACAGTAGTATAATAATAGTAGTAATACAATAAAAGTAGTAATCATATATTTATGCTTCTCTATTATCGGGATTAATAAATATACAGGGTCGCTTTTATGAATGGAAACGGTCGATTATTAGGTAAAATATAGGAGGTAGGTACCGCAAAAAGTTTAATACAAAAGTTATAGGATTTTTAAATATCTATTAGCAAGTAATAAATTTAAGTGGCACATAAAGGTTTATTTTTTTTTAAACAGAACCCCCTGTATATTGCAGCATATTTCTATTCTTCCTTCAATTCTAAGCAAAAATCGAAATACATACAATGTATCTCAAATCAACCGTTTCCGAGTTATTAATTTTTGAAAATATCACTTAAACAATTTGATTTAATTAATTACGATATGTTCAGTTTCATTTAACGATGCCATTCTGCCGAAAATGTGATACTATCGATGATCGTACATTTGACATTAGTTCTCAAATTAGCATTTATAGATGTATAAAATGAGATTATATCAAGTCTAGAAATTACAAAATTGAAGGAAGAATTGAAATATGCAATAAGATACAGAGGGTTCCATTTAAAAAAATTAAGTTTGATGTGTCACAAGTTTATGACCGACCCTGTATACTAAAATTTACTAGTAGCTAATAGACATTTAAAAACCCATTACAACAGTATCACAGTTTCGGCAGAATGGCATCATTAGATGAAACTGAACATATCGAAATTGATTAAATCAAATTGTTTAAGTGATATGTTCAAAAGCCAATAACTTGGAAACGGTTGGTTTGAGGTACATTGTGTGTATTTCCATTTTTGCTTAGAATTGAGGGAAGAATTGAAATGTGCAATAATATACATAGCTATTTAAAAAAATAAATTTTGATGTGCCTCGACTTTACGACCAACCCTGTGTACATAAATTTATTACTCGCCAATAGACATTTAAAAACCCTGTAATTTTTGTATTTAACTTTTTGTGGTACCTTGTGTATTTTACCTAATAATCGACCGTTTGCATACATAACAGCGCCGACCCTGTATATTCAAATCGTTTAATCATGGATGAAGTCTGGTTGACACGGTTAAAGTGTACTAGAATCAAATAATAAAATCATAGTATAAATAAAATGTGAATCCTATGTCGTTTAAAATTTTCAAGAACGACCTTTGACTTTGACAGTTAAATTATTTCTAAAGAAATTTTTATCCTTCTTATCCCCCTCTTTAAGATCTTCTCTATCATTTAACAAATCATAAGTAATCATAAAACTTCTTATGGTCTAGTGTTTTATACTCAATATATTATTTGAATATAATTTTAATTTAATGTATAAAATCCCTAGATCATATACTGGATGTTTCTCAAAAGTTTTCTCTAATTCCGTCTTATCCCTATAACTTTTATAATTTTTCAGGTAAAAAAGCGAGATTTGGTACGTTAGTAATTGACATAAGTCAGAATTGATTAACGTATTCAATTGTTTTCGGTCACTTTCTGTTCAGTCACCGGAAAAGACTAAAACTTTTAATTTTTAAATAACACCCTGGATATTTTTTAGTTTATTCGAAAGAAAATGACAATCTGAATAGAATGACATATCACATGTAAACTTTTGACAGTTTCGCATATAAAGGGCGCACGGGAAAAAAGATGAGTGTCAGGAAAGCGTTGTTTCATTCTAACTATGCATAAACTTTTATCGTTTTTTACATTTTTAAAGACCTGTTTCTATATGACCGTTATCGATATTCCCGTTTATTTATGTACCAAAAGGTGTAGCTTTTTAACACGAAAAATATTGTGCATTAAAATCAAATTAGCAAAAAAATGGACTTTCGTAGTTTTTCCCATGTGCTCCTCATGGTTTATTTGAAAGTGTGACTTGCGGTTCATAACGACAATTTGACTAAGAATACAAAGTGAGTGGTACCAAATTATTCGTAAAAAATGCTTTTTCCAGATTTGCTAATGAGCCACCCTCGTTCCATTTAAAAAAATGAGATGAGTATGATTAAAAATTCGATTTCGGCAGTTTTTTCGGACCAGGATAAGACACGAAGAAACACAGCCATCTTCCCCTAGGAGATTCAAGACCTTGTCGCTGGTGGGGAAGGTCCTTGTCAGGTGCTGGAGGAATCTCCTCTAGCACTTTAGCTCGGTGTAAGAAGCAACTCATTGTCTTGTCCCTGGCTGTAGTCTTGCCCAGGGAATTGCACCAAGACATATAACAATGCCGGACGGGGCTACCTCTGCCCGTCATATCAGGCACCCTCTACTGACTGTCGTCACGTCTCGCGGGTAGAGGGTGTGGAGGAGTCTTGGCTTAACCGCCTGGACCAAGAGGAGACAACCTCACCAAAAAACTAAATCCTACGATGGCGAGACCAGCTCAAAGGGATGCATGGCTAGATAGAGGACTAGCCATTACTGGCTTCAACCTTGGGGCATCAGGGGGCACCCCATTGTATTTACCCCTTACTTCTGCATGCGGGGCTTTGTAGAAGTGGACCAACTATCCCTAGCGACTCGTGGGAACACTATGAGATCCAGTATTAAAAACACCACCAGTGAAGCTGTGGGGAAGCCCCCTAGCGACACTGGGAACATTACAAATGAAAGTTCCAAGGGACCAAATCCAAAGGAAACTAGAGGAGAGGCGACTGACACTTGCTTGGGATCATCCTCCACAAGTGGCACACAAGCTACCACCTTCTCCAGCAAGGGTCGGGAGCCTACCGCTAGACCCAATAAGCGACACAAGCTACCGTTTCGTCTACCCGGCCTGGGTCAACCAGGCGGGCTAGACGATCCTCTGAGAGTAGGTGAGTAGGTCTTAGCGGAGCAGAAGCACGGAGATACCTCCGACTGCTCCACGAAGGACTTGCTCCAGAGGAAGCAAAAGCGAAAACACTTCTCCGAAAAGGGGAGAGTAAAGAAACCAAGAAAAAACCTGACTCATCTCCATCAAAGGACAAGGGAGGGAGCGGGAACCTCTCACCTCTTTTCCGGTAGGGAGAGAAAAAAGCCAGGATGGAAAGTCGTCCAACACCGGGAGGCAAGCAGGGACGTATTACCAGCTTTGCCGCTATTGCTGGACAAGTGAAAATGGCGGTACTGCCAAAGGATTTCCCAGAGATTGCTCTAACCACCGACCAGCAAACGTCTCTAGAAGAGGCTATACTGGACGAAGTAGTGGCGATCGGATCGCAACACAACGATCTACAAAATGTGGGTCAGCTGCGTTTTGCGGGGATACACTTTCGGGTGGGCATGATCCTCATAGATTGTGTATCTCAAGAATCGGCGAATTGGTTGGTGGAAATCGCACCTAACCTTAGAAATTAGCAAGGGCCGAAACTGGTTGCAGTGAAGGAAGAAAAAATTCGTATAACGGCCTTTCTGCCGAGGAGCAAGGGGAAAGACACCACCTACCTGCTGAGCCTTATCCAACGTCAGAACTTCAATGTAAGGACATCGAGTTGGCGAGTCATCAACTCGAGGGAGGAGGGTCATGGTCAGGTCCTCACAATAGGAATTGACCTCAAATCCAAGGAGGCAATAGAGTAAGAGGAACATATCCTCTATTATAGATACGGGACAATGCCGGTATCAGGTCGAAGGAGAGACGAAGAAGAAGTTAAAGAGGTGGCGAAAATGGAGATAGATCCCCCAGCCTCCACCTCACGGGTTCCTCAGCCTGAGGCAAGCTCCTCCACTGCGAAGAGCGGCACGGAGGGCCAAACTCCAACCGTGGAAGGGTGTGTAGCCTCGGAGGAAGAACTGTTGTCAGAGGAGGATGGGAAATACCCTGTACCCTCTACAACAGGCGTATGATTGTGTGATGACCCAAGGAAGGGGGATACAATAGATCTTTAAGATCGCAGTGATTAACCCCCCTCTTACTCATTCTACAATAACACAGCCATGGCACCCTAGATTGAAATTTAACACAAATTTTAATGTCAAAAGTTGACATGTGATGTGTCATAGTATCGAGTATGATTTTATATCAAATAACGTATAAAAATACTGAGCCATTTAAAAATCAAAAGTTGTAGTCATTTCCGGTGAAACAGGAAGCAACTGAAAACAATTGAATACAACAATCAATCCTAATTTTTGTCATATACTAATATACCAAATCTCTTTTTTTTAATCTGAAATATTTCCCTTATATAGGGGTGAGCCACTTTTGAGACACACCCGGTATATGATGTAGGATAAAAAAATATGCTGAAACCACATAAACTAACATACCTGGCAGTAGTTGTCAAATTTGAAGTAATTAATTGCCTCTGAGGATGATGTGGTCCTACATTACTAACTAGTTCCGGCGCATTAAGTGGTAACTTGTTATCATCTATTTGAGGTTGGGGAGGTAAACTAAGGGTTGCTCTTTCCGATTTCGGAGTCAACGTAAGTCCAGAAGCGGACGATATGTCCGAGAAGTTCTCCCACTCTGGCAGCTCGGGTTGAACAGGATAATTCTTAATGGTAACGTCCCATCTAGTATCTTCTATCGCAGGAGGAGGTTTAGGTCGAGTGTGGTATTCGGTTATAAGTCTGAAATAAATTTAATTAGTATTTAGTTTAAGTAAATATTTATTAGATGAGAAGCAAAATATATATTTGTACTACTAGCATAAAAAAAGCTTATTATATTTTGTTTTACGGTAAAATTTTAGCAGACAATGAGAGTAAAGAGCAGAAAACGTCCATAAGAATCAAGAACGGTGTGAGTTGATTCGAATCAGTAGGCTATTCTTGAGGTCGGCCATATGGGATCCGCCATCTTGAATTTTGCCAACCCAATGTCAGATTCGCGATCAATGACCCATTTGACTTTAGATTTGCGATCAGCGACCCAAAAAACTCCCATATACTGATTTTGTTCGGATCCGTTTTTTTTTAAATTCGCGTCGGTCATATTTGATCCGCCACTTTGAATTTAGCGAATTCGACATCAGATTCATGATCAGCGACCCCAAAAACTCCCATATACAAACTTTTGTTCAAGTTCGTGCATTTTTTGAAATTCGCATCGGCCATTTTGAATTATGCCACTCCGAGGTCAGATTCATGATTAACGACCCAATAAAAAACCCTATACCGATTTTAATTAAGATCCGTGCGATTTTCGAAAACCATGACTTGTAATAGGTTTTTTGAATTTAGAAAAAATATGAGACATGCTAGCTCAATTCTGATGGGTGTTTTGAGTTTATCAGGTCCATTTACATTAGGTTATGGTGTTATACAAGAGAAATTTATTTTTTTGATATTTTCCTACTACATTTTCCTGAATTTACTAAGTTTTTGAGGTTAGAAAAAAAATGAGATATGATAGCGGATGAGCGTAATTCTGATAGCGGATTAGTGCTCAGGGTCGAAAAATACCATAGGATATGATGGTCTGGTAAAAAGCATAGACCACTTTTTTTAAATGAAATGTTTTCAATAACTATTCAAAGCATACTTAATCATAAAACTTTTTATACTTGTTGTCTAGTGCCTTAACTTAAAATTAAATAAAATATAATAAACTTTTTTTGTGTGGCTCTGTAATAACTAGTTTACTGTTCAACAAAATATAAATACAATGCATATTTGTGCTGCCAAAAACTAAAAACAAAAAATAAAAAGAAAAAACTATTTAAAGTATCTAAATATAACTACACAGAGAACACTTAGTTTCTGCTAGAAAATAAAGTGTTTTATTAATAGTTATATTAACACATTTTGAATAGAATGTGGTAGATTTGCATCCTTATCTTATAGATGCAATGCAGTAGTTCATGTTCAGTTCAGGAAATGAACATTCTTTTATTTAAAAAATTGTCGACGTTCGACGTGTATTTTTGACCTGTATTTTTTTGTTGCTGTTAATTGTATCCATAGGGATAAGGTATTTAATCACTTCTGACACAAGAATCTTTTAGCTAACAATAGCCTTGATAAAGACGAAAATACACGTCGAACCGTCGGCAGTTTTTTAAATAAAAGGTTGTTTACTTCCTTTTCCTAAGCCTGTGAACGCCATTTCATTTTGAATAGATTTTCCTTTTTTTAATTCTGACGATGGGACAAGATATAGTTTCTGAAACGTTAATATTTTTCTGTCCGTTGGGCAAATATGTTTTGCGAGTAGAAAACAACTGACAAGCTATATTCTACGTAGTGATGTTTATAAAAACTTAACTTTTTTATTTTTTAACATTTTAAAAATAACCCGTCATAATGGCAATGGTAAGATTATTTTACTTAACATTACTTAATTTTTATCTTATTTGCATTAGGTATAAAAGATATTGAATTAATTTATTAAATATGGACATTAATACAGATTTTTTTTACCTAAGGCCATAAATAATACACATGTAAATTTTAGTCACACTAATTAAAAAATATTAATTTCCATATTACTAAATCTCTTTTTTTTGAGAATTTTAATATTATTTCTACTAAAATCGAAGCATTATTAGTATTTCTATTATATCAAAGTCCAGCTGAAATATCAATATCAGTAAATGCCAAACTGCTGACGACATTTCGGGATTTTTTTTTCTTATTAATAAGTGTGTCTCATATACAGAAAAGTTACGACACAAATATAGAATATTTCTCACATACTTTAACGTAAAATAACTACAATTATATGATAAAAGATTTGCTGATAAACTTTCTAGTCATGAGATTTAAAATTAATTTAAAATAAATAATTTTAATAGCGTCATTATACAAAACAATGATATGAATCTTTTGTATATTTCTATTTTTTTTAATGCTGTAGATAGAAATGTTTTTTTAATGAAAATAACATGAAAAGGACGTTTAATAATGTAAATGACGGTAAATATCTGAATAAATGTTGTAAAGTGTTTTACACAAATATAAATAAGAAATAATAATACTCGCTGCAACAGTGTCCTTTTAAGTCCAACTATTATAAGGCATAATTTCTAGATTAATAAAATAGGGATTGTGTGAATTTACCGACTTTTTAGATTACCGGTAATCGGTAATTATTTCATTATCACAAAATACATATATTTATTAAAAACAAATGTAAAAATAATGGCAAATAAATAAAAATCTCCTAAAATCCCAAATTATTCTAAGCGTACGTCTAATATTTGTATTGTAGGTACATGAATAAAACGAATTGAGTGAAAATATGATAAGTCATATTCATAGTACAGTAAAAACAAATATAACATTCAATTTAAAAAAAAATAGTTATCATATTCGGGACTATTTAAGTATTTTTAATTATCTTAGCTTATGTATCTGAATTAGTCTCTTCTTATTCATCTATTAATCTTTTGTTGAACAGTTAAAGTTTTGATGAAATAAAACTTGTATAAGCAATTACAGATTAACTAGGACCTAATTTTAGTGCCCCTTGTTCCTGTCGCAGAAAAAGCAGTAGTAAGCCGAATGGCCATTAAGGCTTCTAATACTAATTAAAAAAAAAACAATTATTTTCACAAATTTCCAAGAAGAATTCCTTTTCCAAGAAGAAGAATTCCTTCCAAGCAGTAAAAAAATTATGAATAGTTTAATAGCGTTATAGAAGGAACATTGTAAGGTTTATTTCCATAGTAATAAAGGTGGCAACTGTTCTGGCAAATCCTTTTTTTGTTAGAAGCAAGAAATTATCTACTTTTGATCAAGTTGAATAAATCTTCTATTGAGTTCTAGCTAATTTTTTGGCTTCTGGTTCTAGCTTAATGTATATATTTTAACAATTACCGAATTCACCAGTATAGGAAGACCGTAGTTTTCCAGCGAAAGGTTGATTCTCACTATACCTTCCGTTTCCATTCCATATCAGTTCCGTATTTTTTAAGGTTGATTCTCACTATACCTTCCGTTTCTATTTCATATCCATTCCATATCCGTTCCGTATTTTTGTATTGACGCTATACGTAAGCTTCCGTTCCGTACCAGCTCCGTACTTTTTATTGTACAATTTATACCACTACTAAAGTTTTATTTTAAACATTTGTGTCTTTTGAAAAAGGTAATAGTTTTAATTAAGAGGTGAACAAATAAACATCAACCAAATTTTAACAGAGCTGGTACAAATGAGGTCCAAACCAAATTCGTTAATTTTCAATAAACGCAAAAAATGAACAGCAACTTAATTAGCCAATATTTATTAACAATACTTTGTCATTTGCTAATCTAAGCATTACTTAGATATTTTACGAAAGGAAAAATACATTTATGCAAAATTGCACTTTTTACTAAAAAAATAAAATTGGATAAGAATTAGAGCAGTTATGGAACAAAAAAACACGGGATTAAGAGAGTTTTGGAAATAAGATATATACCGGATCAGAAGAACGTGACAACGCTGTTTCCGATACGCTTCAGTCCGTCCGTCAAAAAAATGTATGGAAGGAAAGGATATGGAACGGAAGCGAAACGGAACGGATAGTATGTATTGTCCTATTCATTTACATGATGTAATATTTTATGTAAAAGAAAGGGAAACGGAAGGGAGCTGATATGGAAGATATAGTGAGAATCAACCTTTATTGTATTGACTATACGTAAGCTTTCGTTCCGTATCAGTTCCATACTTTTTATTGTACAATTTATACTTTACTGTACATATTTATATTTATCGTACATTATGAAAGTTTTATTATAAAAATTTGTATCTTTTGAAAAAGGTAATAAATTTAATTATGAGGTGAAAGAATAAATAAATATCAGCAAAATGTTAATAAAACTGGTACAAATGTAAGAACTTGACAACGCTGTTTCCGATACGCTTCAGTCCGTCCGCCAAAAAATGTATGGAAGGAAAGGATACGGAACGGAAGGGAAATGGAACGGATAGTGTACATTGTCCTATTCATTTACATGATATAATATTTTATGTAAACGGAAGGGTGCTGATATGGAAGGTATAGTGAGAATCAACCTTAAACTGGCAATGCAATCCCTAAAAAACTTTTACGTATGTTTTCACTTTTTATTCCTATTAGATCAAAAAAGAACATAACATAACTGTTGAATAATATTAAAAAATTACCTCTTATGTCGCTCAATATCTTCTATCGTTTTCTTTTCGGTGATGGTTCTCAAGAAAACGTCATCGACAACGTGCGAGGTAACTTCCGGTTTGTGAGCCGCAGCGATGGGAGGCTCCAAACGGGCTACCGGTGGCTCCATGTCCATGATATATTCCTGTCGGGGTACTATCGGTGGCGGTGGAGGTGGCACCGGTGCGATGAAGATGTGATGGGAATCGTCTATGGTCTCGGTAACGGAATGAGTGTCAGTCATTTCGGTGTTGAGGGATGCGAGAGACCTAGCGTCAGCCATTTCTTGTTGTTTTCTAAGTATCCTAAAGTAAGCAAAGCAACATGTATTAATTTTTAAACTTCTCGTTGTTTTATAATAATAATTCATGTATTTGAGTTCATGCATATTACTCAAATTTTAAGAAATCATCTGACAAAAAATTTATAGTAAAACTTATAACTATTTGAATAAAACATTGACTGATAACCTGATGCAACATTGGTGGTAATTCGACTTTTATATCAGGCAACAATCATACATCTCACTTTCTTCACCACCGTCTTACTTCTTAGTATATACAGGGTGTTTCAATAAACATGTGCCATCTCTCGTGGGGATATTTCACACGTAAATATAAGATTTATTTTTCATATCTTTTCATATCAATATAGGTCCGATTCTGTTTTGTTTCGTAGCTACAGGGTGTTAGTCTTAATATTTTTTCGATTTAGTATAATTTTCTTCCAAATACTTGTAGAGTCTTCAATGAACTTTTGAGGGTAAAAGTTAAAAACTATAAATGCAACGTATTTTAAAGCTAAAAACGTTTCACATATTTACCAGGGACGTGCATATGGGCTATCATTGGAATATTTTTTTATAAAAGAAGCATGTAAGCCACTGACTTTTTTCTCTTGTTAGCGAAATCGTATAAGCAGTTTAATGCCGTTTAAAAGTTGTCTCTTGACATTTTGCCAGTTTCGACATCCTTGATGAGATAAACGCAATTTTGGTAATTTGCCTTGATCCAAGTCTAATAGGAACCTTAAAAAATTTGTATCATTAACTTGCAAAGGTTTTAAATAAGTACCCATTGATTCCTCATCAAAAAATATGAAAAAAAAATCCAATAAACATGAGTATAGAAATTTTACAGTTACAGGATGTTAAAACATTTAAATTTTTTTTTTGTAATTGTCTTAAATACCATTATTTTTTTATTTGAAATTGCTATGTAGGTTAGACTAATAGTAATAATAACTGATATTAATAATATTTAATAATAAATTAGGTAAAATATATAATTTATTAATTTTATTTTTATTTTTATTTTATTAATTATTTTGATTAAAATAAAATTGCGTTTATCTCATCAAGGAGGCGGAATTCTACAAAATATCAAAACATAACTTTAAATTGGCATTAAACGACCTAAATAATTTTGATATCAAAAGAAAAAAGTCAGTAGCGCACATGTTTTTTTTTGTTAAAAATATTCCAGTGATAACCCATATTATGCACTTCCCTGATGAATTTTTTAGTATTAAAATATGTAGCACTTATAGGAACTTTTACCCTTAAAATTTCATTCGAATCACTAAAAGTACTTAGAAGGAAATTATAATAACTTGAAAGATTATTAAGACTTTAACACCCTGTAGCTACAAAACAAAGCAGAATCAGGCCTATGTTGATATGAAAAATATATCTTAATTTTACGTGAAGAATCTCCCCACGAGGGATGGCAAATGTTTTTTGAAACCCCTGTATAAATATAGGTACACACAAGCAACGTTTTTTTTTATTTTAGTGGAAAGAAATATATAGCAAATATACAACTTCCTACCTGTTGAAAGTTGGAGCAGGTTGAATATGCTTCGGTGGTGGGTGAAGTTCTGGTACATAAGTAAAGTGCGTTCTCTCCGTAATAGGTGGAGATTCAGACCGAATACTCATATCTTCTCTCTGTTCCGGTATAGTTGACAGGTTTCTTTCAGTTCGTGTACTTTCCGAGTCAGAGAAAGACAGACTTGGTGGAGATGGAGGTGCCTTCTTAACACGAACTTGTACGTCAAAGTTTGGTTGTTCACCTGGATATATAGTTAACAGTTACAAAACATCCGTATTCGTTATCAGAATCTACTCATAATTTAACAACAAATGATTCAAGATATAACATAAACATCATAGGTACCTTTAATAGCCATTGGTAATCTCGGTGCTGTTAGAGGACTTGCAATAGCATTATGTATTTGTTGTTCCTGCGTATGTCCATAGCCTTCGCTATAAAAGCTTCCATTATCTTGAAGGAAAGCTCTATTTTCAAAACTTCCAGCTGATGACACCTATAGCAATAGAAAAAAAGTTATATTAATATGTAAAGCTAAATAATAATAATTCTTTGGTCAATCGTGGTAGACAGTGAACCAAACCTGTTATGTACAATAATTATTCCATTTTAATTGTTTTCTTATTTACTCGAATACGACTTATATCATTTTTTGTTATCCATTATCGATTTAAAGACTTTAAATGATTTATCTGAAACATCATATTTGAGTAAGGTCTAAAAATTAAGACAATCGAAATTTTGACAAAACAAGCTTGATTCATCTACGTCTACGTAATCGTGTATTAGATGGTACTGAAAGCAATATAACATAAAATATTATACAGAGAAGTTAAAATGCCTAAACGAATTTCTGCAATAGATTGAACCAGATCGAAGAAAAACACTATCCGAAGACAGCATCGACAGCTCTCTGGTTCATAGTGCGCGTCAACAGCGAGAGTTCCTTAGCGCTCAATAATAAAGCTTTAGGTAATGTGAAGAAATCTAGACCTATAGGAGGCAACAGGTAAGCATTCAAAAAGAATGTGTCTCATTGTCATTTAGTTATTAGATAAGGTGCATTTCGGAGGGGGTTCATTTCTGATGATATAGGATTTGGTAAGACATGAGTGTCCTGTGAGGGTTCTAACAATTTTACAGAAAGATCCGCGTTCAAGAGAATATATATTTTGATACAGATGAAGAAGTGGCATATGTGATTTAAGTTTAGTAGTTTACTTTAGTTAGTTTCCACGAGGATATCCCATTCATTTTGATATATCATGATATTGATATCCCATTCTAACCCATTAAATTTCATGTTTCATCAGTATCAACGTGAAATAATTAATCAGAATTTTTGTTTTATGTGTTCTTTAAATTTTATGTTTAGAGAAAGTTTATTCCCTTCAATATATATATGGCTTTCCACATTCACTAAGTACCAAGTAGTTGCATTGTTTCTCTTGATATTACCTGTTCTGTTAACAGTTTTAATTTACGTGTCTGCTCTAAATAATTAAATGTTTTAATTTAGACATTTTAAATATTTTTTTTATATATTATCTTTGTCTTTTGTTTCTAACAACGTTATTTAACCCCTGTTATATTAACCCCCTGAATGCTACGTATATTTTATTGATTAGCCGAAATTAGTTACAAGTAAAAACCTATGACAAGTTGGTTTTCGTTTGGATTTTAACACAGTGACATTTCAATAATATCTTGTTACTATCAATAGTTACTAAAATATTTATACAATAAAAAACACTATATGCTAATCACGGGGGATTAAGAGGGGGAAGGCGCTACAGCTGTTATTAAAAGAGGTTCACCCCGCCGCCGCCAGCCATATTTGTTTGTGGTTCGTTTTTGTCATTTGTGCATTTTTCGCAAAATTTAATGTTTTTCATCGATAATTTGAGTGTTTTCTATTACAAATACATTAAAAACTATTATAAATGTTTTTTTAAACAATAAGACTGACAATGTAATTTCTATTATGTTTTGTTTCTCTTTTGTTTGTTTGTTTGTTTACTTTTGCTTGTTTACTTTACCTTTGTCTACAAATTGTAAATTTTTTTGACAATAAAGGTATTTATTTAATGACCGAATCAACGAATAAACATTAATTATTATTTTATGCCTATTTTAAGTTTGGTGGAGTAATGCCAAGTAATTTGTTCATTGCGATACACACGATTAATATTGCACAGTGATATTACATTAGCTCAAGGCAAATTTTAATCATGGTTTGCTTTTATTATTTGAAGTTTTACCTAATCCGGTCCTGTCCAAATGGTTTACTTTTGGTCCAGCCCAAAGAACAAAAGTGATACAGTTTTTATCGTACAGAAATACGTGTAGTAGCATCTCCCCCCTCTTATTCCTCCGCGATGATAATATATCATAATTGGATACCTATTACTAATTTGGCTAAGATTGACTTTATGTAGTGCCGTCTATCAAGTCGTGAGTAGTTTTGATACAGTTGTCTGCTCTAAATAACTAAAAGTTTCTGAAAATAGTTAAATTTACACATTTAAAATATTTTTCTTTCCTCTCTTTGATTTGTGTTTATAACAACTGAGGTAGTAGCCTCCCGACCGTTATGTGTTTTTTGTGGGTTATTTGAAATTGTTTTTAAGTAAAAATGGCCACTGACAAGCTAGTTTCGGTTTAGATTTTAACGCAGTGACATTTCAAAAATAAGTTTTATATTTTAGACCTGTTTAGTAGTTAAAAGAACAAGCATTTCTTCATAAAATAAATAATTCACTTCTGGTAATAATTAATTAAACACAAATAGAGTATTTTTAGCTGCAAAGTAAATTTAAATCAGTATTCTAAAGCATAAATTCGATTCTGGTTCAATCTTCCAATCTGTTTCATTTATTAACTATATTTATTCATTTTTAACCATTACATTTATGCTATCGGCTAATATGAACTTGAAAATCGTTTTAATGCAGCTTCGTGTCGCGCAAACATTAATAAATACAAACTTACAGGTAATGATCGTGTTTCCTCCACTTCTGAATGGGATTCCGACGGATAGTCGGAAGGCAACGTATCGCTAATAAGATGTCCTTCGTCGCTTCCTGAGCTGCTGCCAATTAAGCCCACCGGAGCATGAGCGCGCGGAATCTTCAGACCTTCGAACATGGACAGGGTACCTGTAACAATACCGGCATTATTAACAATTGATGAACAAAATGTTTACAGGGTGGGTCAAATTGGACGCTTTTAAAGGGAAATAGTCTTTTTTATAGGAGATAGACGAAAACTAATTTCGATATATGAAGCTCAACTTTTATTAACCACATGATGGTGAGAACTGCACATGAATATCTGATACTGTTTCGGAGTCAGAGGGTGTTTTTCAAAAATGTGAATTTTTAACAAATCGCTGTAACTATTTTGATAGGGAAAATTTTGTATTTTTATGAAAACATTTCCAAAGCACTTTTTTACGTAGAATATAACGGTTTAAATATAATTTTATATATTATTAATTTAAGAGTTATCAACAGAAAAATTGTTTTTTTATTTGGACACCCTGTATATTTTTAATTAAATGAAAAGAACTTAAAATTACTTTTCCAAAATTATAGCACACTTGATATCTTGTTATAGTCCCCTTCAAAATACAGAATTTTTAAAAGTTCGCCACTTATTTCTTGTTATACACATATATTGAGATATTAATACTACAGTTTAATAAAGTAGGTTTTAATATTAGATAGCATAGATGTATTAAATAGTCCTTATACTACTAAATTATAAGTCGGATACTGTTTAAAAAGGGTAAGTTCTTTACAATATGACAACACCGATTAGAGGCGAGGGAGCCTATTCATTCATTTATTACCTTACGCTATGTCCCCGGCTGTATTAACGCATTTTCTTAGCTTGTAGTCCTTAAGTGTTTATTTTATTGACTTTTTCTGTTCAAGAACTATAAAATATGGTTCGCCAGTGCCAAATTTGCAAGAAATTTGACTTAAATAATCCATTTAAGTCTTGAAACGACTTTTGACCGGTAGGCAACTCTCAATTTACTCATTAGGAATCAGTGGCGTTGTTGTAGAAAGACGCTTATTTAGATAATATTTTAGTAAAATGTAAAATCTGAATTTGTTCTCTTACATTACATTATTTACTTACTTACATTGTAACAAAATCATAAATATAACCCTGTTAATAATTAATAATGTTTTTATTAAAAATATATTCCGGTTTATTCTAAAATTATCTTCAGAATCTAAAATACTATACAAGAATTTTAAAATGATATTACATTATGAAACAATATTTTTTAATATACCGTGTCGTCTCAAAAAGTGACTCACCCTATAACTTTCTTATTTTTTCAGATAAAAAAAGCAGATTTGTATGTTAGTAGGTATATGACATAAATTAGGATTTATTGACGTATTCAATTGTTTTTGGTCTCTTCCTGTTTCACCGAAATGATTACATCTTTTGATTTTTAAAGGCACCCTCGGTATATTGCTACTTTATTCGATAAAAAATGACACTCTGAATAGAATGACATATCATATATCAACTTTTGACATTGTCGCTTAAAAACAAATCGTATTTTAAATTTCAATCCAGGGTGCCTTGGTGTTGTTAAAACCACTAAGTTTTAATCAAGGAGCCTTGGAAAAATAGTTTTGATCGTCTAATAGGTTTCGTATCTTATCTAGGCCGGTTAAAAGATGTACAAATCGTATTTTTAATCATACATATGTCAATTTTTTCAAATGGAACAAGGGTTTGATTTGGGAGCATATTTGGAAAAAGCATTTTTTTATGAAGATATTGATACCACACACTTGGTATTTCGAGTCAAATTGTCGTTATGAACCGCGTGTTACAATTACAATTAAACCATATGCGAAAATGTCAAAGGTTGACATATGATATGTCATTCTATTCAGAGTGTCATTTTCTATCGAATAAAGTAGAAATATACCGGGGGTGCCGTTTAAAAATTAAAAGTTATAGTCATTTCCAGTGAAACAGGAAGTGACCAAAAACAATTGAATGCGTCAATCAATCCTAATTTATGTCATATACTAACATACTAAATCTTGTTTTTTTATTTGAAAATATAAAAAAATTATGGGGATGAGCCACTTTTGGGACGCACCCGGTATAATAAAGACAGTACCGAGTTAAATAAATGTAGTTTTCATTTTATCCACTTGCTATCACCTTCCTTGCTTTAGTGGAACAGATTTATGTTTTCTCTAATTTACATAATAAGACATCACTTAACCAGAAAAAAAATTACAACAATCATATTTTTTTTTCTATCCCTGTCGCCGATTCTATTATATCTGTGGAATAGATCCTGTTTTGATTAATATTAGGGGTTGTAAATGTTTGACTAAAATTAATAATTTATTATTAATTTCAAAAATTACGTAATTTCGATTATGAAATTTCTTCTATAACATGTATTTTATTATTTTTATCCTTTTTGGACTTTAAGACGTTTTTTCTAAACTTTTATTTAAAAAACCTGTCCTAAGTTTTAATAAAATATAAAAAAGTTTAAATACCATATATTTTTAATTTAATTATAGCTTCATTAAAATAAAAAAATTACCCGGCTATGATACGGAGAGTTCAGGTGTACTTGAGAAACGAAAGACAGTGTTGTGTTTCTCGGCAGAGTCGTCAGGGAACGACCGTTACTACAGAGACAACTTATCTATCGCTCCTGTTGCACTCGTTATAACCTAAAACAATAACACAACAATAACAAGACATTGTCTGACCGCATGTTCCAGCTATTTATTAATGAGATGCTCAGTCTATATTTTATTTTAAGTCTATGGTCCCGTCTGTTCATAACAGAAGACGGTCGACATGTCGAACACCTGTAGCAAAATCTCATGTCTTGGTTTGATATTCACTTTTATTGTTATTAGATATAGTTTAAATATGTTGATGTTGTTAAATACAGTTTAAATTGATACAAAATTATGCATCTCTCATTGCAAAATTATTTTCGTTTTAATCGCTGGTCACAGCTAGAATTCTTTTGCATTACAGCCGGTGCCGTTCAAAGCCCATTTATTCAAAGTAGACGAATTTTAAAAAAATCTATATCTCGAAGAGGAATCGAGCAAAATTTTAAGTATGCTATATTTTTGGAAAAGTAATTTTAAATTCTTTTCAAAGAATTAAAAATATACAGGGTGTCCAAAATTAAAAAAATCAATTTTTCTGTTGATAACTCTTAAATTATGAATTAAAAAAAAATATATACTTAAACAATTTGTTTACGTAGACTTTACGTAAAAAAGTGCTTTGGAAATGTTTTCATAGAAATACAAACTATCTCCTATAGAAAAGGGTGTTCCCTTTAAAAGCGTCCAATTTGACCCACCCTGTACATTTGCTTCGAGAGATCATTTATAGTTCCTTTTTGGTACGCATTGAGGTGTCGTTATTGTCTGGGCAAATAATGATCAAAAGTTAACATACAATTTTTCAGTTTAATTAAGATTTGTATCTAGTTTCACTAGCTTCTACGTCCCACTAGTCAACTCGCAAACCTCGATTTATCATTGTCTGCTAAACTAGAGACGTTTATTTTTACGATTTATTTCAAAGTTTGATTACGCCATATATGCCGTGGTTTTATTGTTAGTTGGTTTATTTTGTTAGAACGTTCTTTATAGTAATCAGAATACTAGATAAAGTAAGAATAAGTGAATGAAATGAATACCAAGTTTTCTGCGTTTTAATGTAGGTTGTTTATTCTGTTATAATCTAATATTTACTAATGATTTCAAATTTGTTTAAAAATTAAATTCAAATATTTTTATTTATAAAAATATAAAATACTTTAATAAAAAAATTGATAAGCTACTAGATCTTATTTTTCGCTGCATTATATTCAGAGTGAACGTTACTCAAACCATCTAGAAAATATTTTCTTCTACTATTTTTGAATTCAAATATTATATTTTGTTTATTTTGAGAAAACCATGAATTAAATTGTTCTGCTGAGAAAAACTTCATGTAATTTGTTTTAACATACTGATATCATGATCCCGTTTAAAAAAAATTGTATCGGGATATTGGTATTATTTAAACCATCACCCAAAACAGTTCTATTATATAATTATCCCTCAATCAATAATATTAAGATCAAATTTTCCATTCTTAAAGAGGACAAAGAAAGACACTAAAACACACAAAACTGCGATTACATTCGCAGCAAAAACTGCTATAAAAAATACTGGTATTCATTTCACTTATTTATTAACCAAATTCTCAAATCATATTAAATTTGAAAAAGAGTGTTTTTTTTAATTTTTTAATTTTTGATAACACTAACTGAGGAGAAAATGCTTTGTGTCCTTGTTTGAGCTCATTCTTAGCAATAGCTATGGAGCGCCCTACAATGTACGCCATCGCAAATAACTGTAGGTTTTGGCGGGAAGCCGAGCATTCCAATCTAAATTTATTTCTATTATCTATATCAAATTGACTATTTTTTTTCCTGAATTTATTGTTGTCATGGTGTGTGCAATATATTTCTTTGAGAATTAATTAGTAATTTTAAATAATATACCTAAAGAGCTTCCAGACAGCTTGGTAATTTCGGATTCAGTTCCAATGGTTGAGAATGGTCGTATAAGCGTAACTGGTCTTCTTCTGAGGCAGTAGTATGAGCATCCCAAACCCAACAGTAGCAGAGAGAGAAATAGGATTCCGCAGATGATGAGAAGGATTTGGAATCCTTTTAAAGGAGGTTCCAAGGCAGCTATGGGTACGGATGCCTCTTGACTGCAAAAAAGATGTTGAGTGTTAAAACATGTTTTTATTAAAAAATATTGCGATAATTTAAAGGTGGTAAAATTAAGCTCAGTATGCATATTTAAAATAATATATTATTTAAAAAATAACATCAATTATTATATACTAGTGATTCATAGTCCATGCAAATTGTTAAAGTATTTTAAAATAATAAATCTATGAATTTAATCAAATAAAGTAAAAAACCTGCGTTGATAGATCGAGTAATGCCTGTTTTTGTTTCCTTCCAACCCCATACTTCGGCATCTTTGGTACAACCAGACCAATGCTGAATCTGGTGATAAGTTCGCAATGAATGCTGTCTAGCACGACAATTAAGTATTCATAAATTAATGGGCGAATTAATAAAACAGGCATTATTCCAGTCACAACGTTGATCGTGTCTGCTGTCAACTAAACTAAAACTAGTTTTAGTTTAGTTTCTTTAATTTTGTCATGAAACAGTGGCGTATAATTAATTCGCTCATTAATTTATGAATACTTAATTGTCGTGCTGGACAGTATTTGATTGCGAACTTACCACCAGGTTCAGCATTGGTCTGGTTGGAGCATAGATGCCGAAAAATGGGGTTGGAAGAAAACAAAAACAGGCATTACTCCAGTCACAACGTTGAAAGATCCAGCTCCAAAATCCCTATTGGCGTTTTTATCCTGTAAATGCAAAACCAATAACTGTGGTAAAGCCTGCGGATGCAGAAAAGCAGGATTAAAATGTTTAATGATTTGTGCATACTGCAATGGGGAATCCTGCGACAACGTCACTGAAGTGTCACTCGACGAATCCGATGAAGAGGAGTTGGATTTGCCTGTAGATATCCCTCCGGCGGCTGAAGATAAAGGGTTGGACCAATTGGGAGACCGCCCTGATGACAGCACAGCAGAGACGATCAACTTTGACATCAATGAGCCAGGTCCGTCGGGTTTAATAAGTTAAAGTTTTTAATTTACCTAGTGGAGTAGGCGTCCGGGGAGACCACGTTAAAAAAAACGCGCCATGTACTTTACCTCTTGGGTGGTGTGGAAACAAGTACACATTTTCAATAATTAAAATTAATTATTTATAAATTAATGAGCGAATTAATGGTACGCCACTGTTTCATGACAAAATTGAAGAAACTAAACTAAAACTAGTTTTAGTGAACCCTAATCGACATTTGATTTCGGAAAATCGACTATACCGGGTGCGTCTCAAAAGTGGCTTGCCCCTATAACTTTTTTTATTTTTTCAGTTAAAAAAACGAGATTTGGTAAGTTAGTACGAGCCCTAAGTACTATATGTTGGGATAAGGTCATATTTTGGAATTATTGCCCTGGTTTTTCAAAATGACTGAAAAATATATGTTTAATTTTTTAAATATAAACATAGCCATATATCCTAAACAACTTGACAATATTTTTGTGGTGTTTATGAATTTGTAAATCAATCCATATTTACAGTAGCGGATTTTGTTCATAAAAGGACAAATTTGCTGACAACTAAATGTTGGGACAAGTATTTTTAAATAATTAATATCATCATAGGCGGCTTTGCTATAAACATCACAAATGTCACTAACAGTTTACTTCAGCATTGACAGCTTGTAAGTGACTCGATACTTTGAGTAGTGAGGTTTGTGTAAGTAATTTTAATTTTTTTAATTTTCAAAACTACGCGAAATTATAATTCGTCAATACAGTACGGGAAAACAATAAAGCAGAAGCCTTTCATAAAGATTGCTTAAAGGGGGTTGTTAAATTTCCTAAGGGGATTATGGTTCGGGGTTGCATGTCAGCAAGAGGTTTGGGCAAATTAAATTTTATAGATGGCACTGTTAACGCCCAAAAATATCAACATATACTTGACACTTCACTTTTGCCTAGTGCTCAATTGTTTCCAAACGAAGACTATATTTTCCAACAACATCGAGCATCGTGCCATTCAGAAAAATCAACTAAAAATTGGTTCGGTAATATCTCTCCCCCCCCCCTATCCCATCCTGCAAGTAGTCCGGACCTCAATGTTATAGAAACTGTGTGGCATAAAATAAAGCAATATTTAAGAAACCACCCTCAACGAACAATTTTTGATTTGCGGACAAAACTGCAGGAAATTTGGGATACTTTTTCTCATCAAATGTACCAATCTTTGGTAAATACAAGGCCATTAAGAGTTCAGGCAGTTGTTAAGGCGAAAGGTGATTTAACTCCGTATTAAACAAATTTCTTGTTGTGCTGTCCCAATATATAGTTGTCAGCAAATTTGGCTTGATTTTGGCGAAATAAGCTATTATCAAAAGTGATTTGTTTGCAAAGTTATAAAAATATAGTAAAATTGTCTAGATCATATTGTAATGTTTGAATTTAGAATAATAAACAAAATAAATTGAGTCGTTTTAATAAATTACTATTTTTATTGCAAAAAAAGACCTTGTCCCGACATATAGTTGTTAGGGCTCGTATATGACATAAATTAGGATTGATTGACGTATTCAATTGTTCTCGGTCACTTCCTGTTTCACAGGAAATGACTACAACTTTTGATTTTTAAATGGCACCCTCGGTATTTTTTTACTTTATTCGATAGAAAATAACACTCTGAATACACTGACATATCATATGTAAACTTTTGACGTTTTCGCATATGGTTTATTTGAAATTATAACTTGCGGTTCGTTACGAAAATTTGACTCGAAATACCAAGTGTGTGGTATCAAATTATTCGTAAAAAATGCTTTTTCCAAATATGCTAATGAGCCACCCTCGTTCCATTTGAAAAAATTGAGATATGATTAAAAATACTATTTGAACAGATTCTAACTGGCCAGGACAAGACACTACTTTTAGTGTCTTGTCCTGGCCTTGTCTTGTCCTGGCATTAGACGATCAAATCTATTTTTCCAAGGCTCCTTGATTAAGGATTAGTGTTTTTAACAAAGCCATGGCACTCTAGACTGAATTTTAAAATACGATTTTTTATTAAGCGAGAATGTTAAAAGTTGACATATTATGTGTCATTCTATTCAAAATGTCATTTTCTATCGAATAAAGCAAAAAAACACCAAGAGTGCCATTTAAAAATCAAAAGTTGTAATCATTTCCGGTAAAAGAGGAAGTGACCAAAAACAATTAAATACGTCAATCAATCCTAATTTATATCATATACTAACATACCAAATCTTTTTTTTTATCTGAAAAAATAAAAAAGGTATAGGGGTGAGCCACTTTTGGGATGCACCCGGTATATCATACTTTACGCAAAATTGTAAAATTTCCAGAGATTTTGTGCCTAAATGGTTGACATAGTTTTCGAGATATTTACAAAATACCGATTTTGGGCGCCACCTCGGTAAGATGGCGGCGCCGCGCGCCTGCCGCAAGTCTGGGAATGTGCATTTTATGGATTTTAGTTAGGGACCCCAAAACCTATAAACCTGCAAAGTTTCAAAACTTCCGGACTTTTTTCCAAGCAAAAATCTCCAATGACTGAACTAATAGAGAAAGAGGGATATATCCTCTATTATAGATAGAGGCCAAGAGTGATAAGACCAAGTTAAAGACGTGGAGAAAATGGAGACCGATCCTCCAGCCTCCACCTTACGGGTACCTCAGCCGGAGGCAAGTTACTCGACTGTGTAGGACACGGAGGGCCAAACTCCAACGGGTGAAGGGTGTATACCCTCGGAGGAAATCTTGCAGCACAGACCTTTTTACAGTAAAAATATGTTCTTTGCATTTTGAAAAAGGTACATCGGAAAACTACATGTTACTCTTAAAAACTACATAAACTACATTACATGTAGCTAATCGACGTAGAGGGTGTAGTTTATGTGACTTCCAAATATGGAAGGAAAATATTTGAAGCAGGTTTGAGGCAAGATATTTTATATTTGTACTATGGTTGTGTTAAAATGTTTTTTGTTTTAGTATTTTATAATAATTTTAATATGTTGTGTGTTAGCAAAATAAACACTAAATCACCACAATACACCAAAATACTTTTACTTTTACACTGGACGCGCGTTTCGCTAACCATGTTAGCATCATCAGCAGATAATTAAAAACTAGTTTCAGTTTTTAAACATCTGCTGATGATGCTAACATGGTTAGCGAAACGCGCGTCCAGTATAAAAGGGAAAGTGTTTTGGTGTACTGTGGTGATTTAGTGTTTATTTTGCTGTGTTACAACAAAGGTTCCAACCCTCAAATGTAATATTTTGAGTTATCCATTCTATTCTGTTTTTTTTTATGAATTTATAATTCTTTAATTAAATATAAAGCCTATGCATTACATGTTTCTATCAAAACTAACCCGTCTTATTTATAGTATGGTTTTTATATCGTAATATCAAGACGTATAGACATCTTTTTATCAATACGTAGTTTACTAAAGTAGTTTTCATGTAGTTAATGAACGGAAAAATTCACAGTCCTTTACAAAGATGCAACCGGGGGGGCATTGAAAATGATGAATAAAAACGTAAAAATATGATTAGTGTTAATATGAGTGTAATACATACATATGTTTAAATAACGAACTTAAAAAAAAACAACAAATTTAAAGATTCACTGAAAAAGTAGTAATGTTAATATTAAATAAAACATTATCAATAATAATTATGCGATCGCACCTATCCGTAAAACAAGCAAGCAAAAAAACCTCGAAAAAAACAAAATAACATACAAAACATCAGGTTAACATGATGACAGATCATGATCAATGACAGATAAAGAATTCTTACGGAAAGTTACACTTTACGATATAATTTTTTAACTGTTAAAGGCAAACCCCATTTAAACACACAAAACTTGTTAATACCTACTACTGTATCTAAAAGACTTTTTTTAAATTACTAAATTCTTAGCCACGCTTCTGTTTTTCTTGGCTGTTGTGCGTCACGTCACAGATTAACAGGCCCACGTTTGCACCACAAGGCGATGCTGCAGATCACTAGGTAGACCGGTCGTAGAAATTTATGTTATACAACTTGTAG